TTGCTTCCACCCCTTATGCAAGATCGCATTCCTAGAATGTTCCCCCATAGTTCCAGAACTCACATGTGCTCAGGAGCTAGTGCTGCTGTTCCCCTTCTTAGCTTTGGCCTCTCTCAGTGACTGTCTGCTCTCGAATTTGTATGAACTTCAGATGAGTGTTGGTAAGTATTACTGCTTCTGCCAGGTGCCAAGACACATCAAGGAAAGGATATTACATTGATGGGTCCGTGTATACCCTGAGGTCTGCAAGATGACACGCACATATAGGGATTGTCTCTCTGAGTCATTCAGCACACTGTTGAGGCTGAATGTTGAAGGGGAGAGCACTCTAGAGCTGTTGCCTATAGCTCTTTCTCCTGCCAGCACTGCCCCTCGCTCCTTTCCTCCCACTTCTCCCTCTCTCCCATCTCTTTGTTTCTTTTATCTTTTGAGATTTTGAGACAGGATTGTGTGTACTTGAGGTTGGATTCAAAACCACGATGTATCAGAGGTTAGCCTTGAACTCCAGCTCCTCCTTCCTCCACCCCACTAATGCTGGGACTGCAGGTGTATGCCACCGTCCCTGACTTTGAACTTTTCTCTCTTTAATTTTTAAAAGTTTTATTATAAACTGACAATGTATAATTGCACATTTTTATAGGGTGCAAACTAATATCAAGATGCAGGATAGAATAATTATACCAAGCTGACGAACATATCCATCACTGAAAAAATATTTTGTTGTTGTTGTTTTTTTTTTTCTCAAGACAGGGTTTCCCTGTGTAGCCCTAGAACTTGGCTTTGTAGACCAGGCTGGCCACGAACTCAGAGATCTGTCTGTCTTTGCCTCCCAAGTGCTGGGGCTAAAGGCATGCATCATTATTCCTGGCTCTAAAAAGTGCTTTTTGTGAGGGGGCACTTGAAACTTCCTCTCTGTGGTGCTTGGTTCCGGTTGCTGCCTTGCGTAGGCCGAGAGATGTCTAGGATTGGTGGACGACACCTATGGGTGTTTCTGTGGAGGGTGTGTCAGAGAGGAGTGATGGGCGGATAGCGACATGGGGGACGGCCTGTTCTGAGGGTGAGTGGCACAGACAAGGAAGCCAGCGCACACGCGTTGTGTTCTCACCGCAGCTTCTTCAGCTTCTTCAGCCTTCTGATGTGAACCCATCATCATCCAGTTCTTGGGGGACGTCTAGGCAGCTGGCACAAGCAGGTGCATCTCTTTGTATAACATCTATACCTTCATATGTGAACTTATGTATATAGTTCTACATACATGAACTTCTGTATATAGTTGGTTCTGTTTCTCTCGAAAACCCTAACACACTCATAGGGGTTTTGCGCATCCCGTTCTCACTCCATCCATCACGCTCCAGAGTAGATCTCAAACACTCACGATACAACACCGATTCCCTCTGTCCCCTCTAGCCAACATTTCCCACTCCCCAGAGCCTCTGTACTCACTACTCCACTCTGCTTTATGAATTCATTTGTGGAGGACTGGCTCGGTTTCAATTATAGCCACACACATTCTGTCTCCTCTGCTCGGCTTACTTCCTTAGCACAATGTTCTCCAGCTTTTCCTTGTTGTCACAGCTGACGGGGCTCCCTGGGTCTTTTTTAAAGGCTGAGTAGTCTTCCGTGGTGCGAGGTAGCCAATCTTCTGTAACTATTTGCCTGTTGATAAACACTTATGATACCACAATTTGTTGGGTTATTGCAGGCAACCCTTCCCTAACTTTCTTCTCTCTGGGGCATTGGCCCTATTCTGCATTGTGATTTATGTTTAGACCAGTGTCTTGTATGCAGTACTGTTCCCTCGATACCAGTTGAACATTCTCAGGAGTGATAGCAGGATAGTGATGTTGGCCCTCAGCAGGGTACTTTCCCTGTTTTGCCCTAGCAGAAACTGTCTGAGGAGCTAGTTATAAGGAGTGGGAGGCAGCTGGTCACATCGATTCCTTGGTCAGGAAGCAGGGAGATCAGTGTTCATGTGGCTTCTTCCTTTTTATTAACTCTGGAACTTCAGCCCGTGAGATGGTACCACCTTCACTCTGGGTGGACCTTCCCTTCTTAGGCAGACCTCTCTCCAAATATGCTTACAGATACCCCAGTCAGGTAGCTCCTAGTGATTTCAAATACAGGCCAGTTGGCAATAGAGATTAGCCCTCACACATACGACACGACAGCCTGTTCTCTGTTGGCCGTAAGGAGAAGTTTTGCACTGGAGCTAGAGAAAGGGGCTCCTTGTCACTGCTTGATTGTCTTCAATTACGGATACCCCCTTAACTTACAGATAAGCAGGTGCATCTCTGTGCTTCTTTCACACACGGAGGAATAGCATTAATTCTTGCTCATGCAGGGAAGAAAGCAGTGATTTTATACAACCTGTCAAGTGGATTCCACATGTGTACACATTTTAAACTAGAATTATAAATATTTTTATTACATTCATTTATTTATGCAAGTATGATGGCATGCATGTGGAGGTCAGAGGACAACTTGTGTGAGCTGGCTCTTTCTCAGAACCCTGTGGGTCCTAGGGATTGTCAGCAAGCGCCCTGATGAACAGAGCCATCTTGCTGACCCTGAGGGTTATTTTCCTAATGTTGCTTGGTGAGTAGAAAATGCAGAAGATGGATACAGGGTTTTGTGACTCCACTTTCTACTGCCCTGCACCATCCCTTATGATGGGGTTTCCCAGAGGAGGCTTAGACTTCCTGTTTGAGTTGACAGTTCTGTGCAGACCCTGAAAGTGTGCATTCAAGCATCTTCATGACCTGGGCTTCCCTGTGCCTAAAGAGTAGGTCTTACAGGATGATCATGGCAGCAGACACTCGGAGGAGCTTTGAGAAGCAGGTTTCTGCCTTCTCTGGGCTTGTCTTCATGCGTTAGGGACAGGGTGTCCCAGAAGGCTGCTGCTCTCTTCCTCAGCGGCTTCAGGAACAGCTGGAGAGGACAAGGCGGTGGTGAGTGGGTCAGCGCACGATGGCGGTGCTCACCCCTGCGAGGTGCAAGGAGCGCGTGACCATTCAGGAAGGCCTTGGCGCATCTCCCCGCCAATGAATGGTCTTACAGCCTTGCAGGCTGATGTATTTCTTCATTTTGCAAAAATCTGGTTGGAAGTGGGAAGTAAACAAAACCAATGAACAGCTAACCGAGCACAAGAGCTCGGCGCTGAATCCCAAAGTACGTGGATTTTATCCATGAACACGCGAGCGGTAGTGGTGCGGCAGATAAACACTAACAGCTTCAGGGCCACCGACAGTCCATGACATTGCTGGCCCTTGACTAAACTGTAGATTAGGAGGCACAGACACAGTGTCAAAGACTGTTTAGTTCTGTCCTGCTGCTGACAGGCAGGACGACATTTGTCTGGGAAGCTGATAAGTGAGGAATGTAAATGGGCCATAAGAGTCAGTATCATGAAGGAAGGTTCATTGCATGAGTGCATTGGTTTTTACCTATAGTGACATTAATGGTATTTTTCTTAAAATTATTTTACATTTATATTTTAATTATTATTATTATTATCTTCAGTACAGGGTTTCTCTGTGTAGTCCTAGCTGTTCTGGAACTTACTATGTGGACCAGGCTGGGCCTCTGCCTACCTCTGCCTCCCAAGTGCTGGGATTAAAAGCATTTATTATTTTAAAAAAAAAGTGTGAATTTGTGTGTGGGCACATGGGAGCTGGTCTCTCCTTCAACCATGTGGACCCTGGGGATTGAACTCAGGCCGTGAGGCTTGGCAGGAAGTGCCTTTACCCACTGCTAGGCCCACATTCGTGGGAATTTAAATTTCTAATACATTTATATGTTCTTACAAATGCTACATTGAAAGTATTTTTTTTAAGTGGACAAATAATAATTTTTGAGTGGATAGAAAAAGGACAGCTGTGGCTTGGTGGCCAAGACAACACTCCCTAGCATTTGAAACAATCTGGCAGGAGCTTGGAGGGAGGTAAAAGGCAGAAATCTGACTGCAGTTGCAGGGCTTGCCAGATGGCAACAGATAACAGCCAACGTTCGATTGTGCTATAATTAATATTCTCTATCTGTCACTTCAGCAAGCTATCGTTTTACAAGACAAGTGGCGACAGAATGTTGTAATTAGATTACCCTGCGATGGGCTTATGTTGAAATGAGAAAATGGAATGGAAAATACGTCTTCTGTTGGTGCCCCTGAGGGGGGGGTGCTGAGAAAGGCTTGACCATGAACACAGGTATGCAAGGAACTGAGTTTGCTGCTGCCTTCGGGGAACGCCTTCTTTTTATGACCCTAACTGGGAACTATTAAGGGAGATTTATCCTATTATCTTTAAGAACAGCATTTGCTGAGCAACACAATTACTGAGATCATGTGTAAATGCCTTAATTAATGATTTCTAAGTCCATTTAAACACATTAGAGGCTCCACTTATCTCCCAACATCTGATGTGTTACACACTCATCCTTGTCTGATTTGGATCAGTGTCTGTGGTTGGAAACGGTGTCATTCTTTTCCCTTAAGATCTACTCTCTGGGCTGGAGAGATGGCTCACTGGTTAAGACCACTGGATGTTCCACCACTGACCACTGGTCTGGGGTTCAAAGCCCAGTACCCACGTAGTGGCTCACAACCGTTTGGGACTGGACCTCTTCCAGCTTCCCAGGGCACTGCAGACACGTGGTGCACACACTCACATGCAGGCAAAATATCCACAGCACAAAGGAAGTACAAAGGATACATTCTAGGTATTTCTGTCTAGTTCAGACCTCGCAGGCTCAGGAGTTTTGAGCAGGTCTACTTCCCACCCCCAGTTAGCCCAACCACTGGGCTTTGCTGTCTCTTTGCTGTGCGAGTTTAGCTGACACAGGTACAAGCTGTGACTTCCATGGCTGTTGAGGGAGAAACCAGCTGACCGTGCAAGCTCAATGCGCATGGCTTCTCGGGAAAGCTCCGTGTAGCCGGTGATGGGGTGGGGGCAGGGGCTAGCTTCCATCTCTAGAACAAAAGTCAGTTTTGAAGGAGAATGTGTGGGATTCTGGAGTGCGGTGTGGGGAGTGTGGGTGCAAGACAGAGAGCGCCTCATGTTTCAGACAGCCAAAGATAATGGGAGATGAAATGGAATCACGTTTTTTACAGCTTCACGCGTTGAGCAGTAAAGTCAGCTCTGCTCAGCAATTTGTTCAAAATGCTCTACGGCTCTTGCATCTCTTCGGATGTCATGAAGATCTTTATAGTGGTAAAAGTTGGATCTAAATCCCACAGGTTTGCACCAAAAGCGAGCTGGGAACAAGAGTTTTCACAAACCTGCATTGTTAATTCAAATCCACAGCCAAGGAAGCAAAGCCTTAGTCACCATATTGCCATGTCCCCCTGAACACCAACAGGCTGGAACCTCCGGAGCTTGTCTCTTTGAGTTGTTTCACCAGTGACATCACGGTGATTGCCACCTCCCTCAGACTACTTTAGGGCCTGCCCAGAGTCCCGGAGCTCAGACAGCAGCGAAGACAGCTGGAGTTGGGGAGAGAGAGGAGAAGTCTACAGCAGCCTGGGTGTGTCTGGTCCCTCTTCAGGTAACAGAAGAATTTTATACTTAGCAATCTCTCTCTCTCTCTCTCTCTCTCTCTCTCTCTCTCTCTCTGTAATTTTCAAGTAAAAATGTTAACTGATGAGCACATTTCCCAATGAAACAGGTAATCATAATATAGGGCATTTCTTAAGCTGTAAAGTGAATATCTATTCCTGTTTTTCTCTGATATGTATTTTTCTCTTTTTCTAATTTTATATTGTTTCCAACATCACAGAAGAAAACCAATGTCAAGTTTCTTGTACAGTTTTCTCCTGGTTTGTAAAGTTCATACATGGCACAACCATTTTGGCTCCCAGAGAAGGCATAAAAGGAAGCCAGAGCTCTTGGGTGGGCCCATAGGGGAGAAATAGAACAGTGGCGATTGAATAGCTGCCTAACTTTCTCATTCCCCCTAAAGACTGTGGATGTGTGTGAAGGTAAGACCCAGCCTTCAGCTGTCGTACACGGGAGTTCATTGGATTGTTGTTGTTTTTTTTTTTAATTTAAAAATACGCAAGGTAACAAATTTTTAAAGTTGCCATTAAAATATAAGAAGTAGCAAAGGTTAAGCCACAGGAAAGAGAAGCCTGTGTTCACTCAATTCAGAGAGGCTGGAAAAAAATGTGAAGAGTGCAAAAGATGCAAGAAGTTAAAAAATGAATTATAAGAAACAGGAATATAGTTATCACTCACCAAGAGACAGATCACTGGCAGAACCTCAGAAGTCCAGGGCTATCATTCCCCTCTGCCTCTGTCCCCAAGTGTGGAGCTTGTTCGCCCTCTGTTTTCAGGTTTTACCGCCTGTGTCTGTGTCCCTAAGCAACACCACTAAGCTCCCTGCTCTTGACTTTGTGTAAATGGAGTCACATTCTCTGATACTCTTGTAAACCCTCCTTTCCTCTCACTGCTGTGTTGTGAGATCCACCCATCTTGTGCTGTGTAGCTCAAGTATGTCACGTATTTTCTTTACAACATTCAGACGGATGTGAATTCCGCAAGTCACATCCATTCTACGGCTGGTGACCAGTTCTTTCCAGGGGCCATGTTCAGAATTCCCTTGCTGTAAGCTCTCCATCTAACACGCTTCTCTCTCTCTCCCCTGCTCCTCTGAACACTCATGGGCATTCTGCTCTCCTCTGTTACCCACCCATTTTCTTCTGCTGCTTCTCTGCTCTAGGGAACTGTGCATGAAGATTTTCACTTGTGATTGACAGTTTACATCATGCTCGGGCTTGAAATAGGGATAAGAACGAAAAGGGGGAGGGGCTGGCAAGATGGCTCAACAGATAAAAGCATTTGTTGCCCAGGTCGATAATGTGAGTTCAACTCTCTAAAATTGTTTTCTGACTTCTGCATGTATACTGTGACACACATGCATACCTATCCCAAATACAGACATAAATAAATGTAATAAAAAGTTAGGAATTTAAAGGAAATAAAACAAGTCATCATTGGCTACACTTTACAATGAGATCTATAATTCATTCACTGGCATAATATAGTATGAACCTGTATATTATACTATTAAAATGTAATAAAAGTTGATTATTTTTCTAGTATCTATGCAGTTAATAATTTGGTACATTAATGATACAACAAATAACAGTTACAGGTTATTCAGTCAGGCCAAAAGTTTGCTACAAAGCTTTGGCCCCTTGAGCTTTGATTCTTTGCAAACCTTTTCATCTAACCTTTTTCTTTCCATGATAGAATTTTGTCCTACAATAATGATATTTATTTTAAATTATTTAAAATACATAAGTTCTAAATTTTGTTTGGATCATATAAACCAAGCATCAATTTCACTACTTCACCAAAATTAATAATCTGGTTGACAACATTGCCTAATGGCTTGGAGTATACTTTCCTGCATGTCCAATCTGTATGCACGTTGGAGATACCATCTCTGCTTTCTGAAATGTTTACAGTCTAGGCACATCCTGAGCTTGACTAAAAATAGCTGGCACAAGCCCTTGTTGAAACAGAAATGCTCATGAGGCTAACACTTGTTCTTTGGACTCAGTACCTGCTGTGCGAGGGACTTCTGGTTGACCCCTGCAGGCTTCATGCCAGGGTAGGCTTGTGTGAAGCTATGCAGCTGTTGGAATTGCTTTATCCTTTCACCAGGGTTGGATGAAGACCTAGGGCAGCTTTAAATCAGAAGGATGATGTTATCCTACGCCTAAATGTGATCCAAAACAGAGCAATGCTAAACTACAATTTTTTTCTGTTTTGGTGTCCCTGCTTGAGATATTCCAAATAGCAAAGTTAACATGTGTATACAGACATGCCAAAGATGAAGAGAGAAAAATGTAATATTTTATTTCCTACCCAAAACAATGCGATTAATACAGGTTAAAAACATTGGTCTTGGGATGACAGCAGGAAGAGAAACTAGGCTGTCTTCAGATAAACACAATTAACACTCTCTCTCCCTCTCTCATTCTTGCTCTCTCCCCCCCCCTCTCTCTGTGTGTGTGTGTGTGTGTGTGTGTGTGTGTATGTATGTGTGTGTGTATTTGAGAAATTGTCTCATATCATTGTGAAGGCTGGCATGTCCAAAATCTTCAAGGTGAGCTGCCAGGCTGGAGCCTCTGAGAGGCGTGGCTGCTTAACTTCAAATGTTAATTTGAAGGTCAGATGTTGGAGACCAGGGCATCAGCAAGGCTGGTTCCTTTAAGGCTTTTTTTTCCTTTGGGCTGAGAGTGGCCATCATTTCTGTGTTTTCACAATGTCTTCCCTCTATAAGGTCTGTGTTCTAACTTCTTTTCTTCAGATACCGATCATGTTGAATTAGGGCTCACGTGTAACTGATCTAGTTTGCTTCTCTTTCTGTGGTAAAACACTGACCAGAAGCAATTTAAGGTGGAAGGGTATATTTTCAGCTCACAGGTGTAGTCCATCTGGAAGGAAGGCCGTGGGACTCACTCACGGCAGGAACTCATGGCAGGAACTGATGCAGAGACCATGCAGGAACACTGATAACTGACTTGTTTCTTCTGGCTTGCTCAACTACCTGTTTCTTTTTTTAAGATTCATTTTTATTATTTAATTTTATAATTAAAATTTAAGATTTAATTTTATTATTTAATGTTTACTTTTATTATTTTTAATTATGTGCATGTGTTTGTGTGGGGGGTGTGTGTACATAGGTGTAGGTGCCCAAGGAGGCCAAAGGCAGCAGATCCCACCAGAGCTAGAGTTATAGGCAGTTGAGAGCCTCCTAATGTGGGAGGAATTAGTCAGTTGAGGCCCTTCTTCCCAGGTGACTCTAGGTTTAGATCAATTTGATGTTGAAGCTACCTTTGGCAGAGACCTCATATTAACTTAATTACATCTTGAAGACCCTGTCTCCAACCACAGTCACATTCTAGGTATTGGGGACTAAGATGTCAATGTATAAGTTTGGGGGTAAGGTTAGAGCAAGTCAGCCCAAACGCTCTCCTCCTCCACAACACTTCATTTTCCTCTGAAGAAGGCTGGGCAGCTTCCAGGCACGTTCCCTTATCTACCGTGTTGTCTCTCTTACTTTGTTAGGAAGCAAGGCTAAGCCAGAGGTCCTTGGTGCGCTCTCAGAAGTCTGCCTGGAGTTCTCACCCAGCAACTCAGAAGATGGAGCGGTCTACCCAGGAGTTGTTCCTCAACTTCACAGTTGTCCTGATCACCGTTCTCCTTATGTGGCTCCTTGTGAGGTCCTACCAATACTGAGGGGCCATGCTGCACTCCTGGGAGTGACGCCTATGTGCCCTGAGCTTCTGCTGCTGTTATTGTCATGGGATGCCACTCTTGGCACCGTAGTGTCTCTGACCCACACTCACAATGCCTGGCACACTGCAGCACTAGGTCCCTTGTGTGCTTTCTAAAGATGCTGTTCTTGTCAGCCAGTGAGCCCTACGCTTGTTTCCTAGCAAATGCACTATGCAGGCCACCAGGTTGAAATTAAACCAGATTCCTGATGATGCAGAGGAACAACAAGCTCCTGGTCTGTGCCGACACACATCCCCCCAACCCACTCTGTCTGCCACCAAACCGACTCAAAGCTTCAGAAGACATGGATGGGAAAGTCTTTGCCAGTCCCTTGGATTCTCATGTCAATAAAGTTAAGCCACTCATGAAAACGGCTTTTAGAATTTATTTTAGCATCTGTGTGACCCTTGGCTGCGACTGAAGTGACAAATAGCACATTATTTCTAGCATTTGAGATTAGCCAAGATGCTCCAGCTGCCTAGGATCAGAAAGCAAGACAAGCCAGAGTGTCCCATTTCAAATGATCCCATTGCTTCTCAAACCTTCCCTCTGCTAATCCTACGGCCAGAGGGAGAATGACTCCAGCCTGCTAGCATCTTGGGCCAGAGCCCAGAGTGCCCACTAAAAGCACAGAATTCCTCTGGTCTTGTGTCTTTTCCATAACTTTCACAAGAAATGGGCTCAGGAGGTAATGCAGTCAGGAAAGCCCTTACTTTGTAAGCTCAAGGGCCCGAGTGTAGACCTTCAACAGCCATGTGAAAACCCAGGACAGTGGTGTTAGCTTGTAATTGCAGGGATGGCGAGGTAGGAGGCAGAACAGCCCAGACAGATCCTGGAAACTTCCAGGGAGGCCAGTATAACTTACTTGACCAAGTTCCACACCACGAGGGGTCCTCTAGTGAAAGATGGGGGCCACCTGAGGTATGACGTCTGAGGTTGTTCTCTAACCTTCACATGTATGTGCACAGATGCTCATGCATACACTTGCACATATGTGTATCCCCAAACATGCACACAAACAAACAAATGCACACATGTGAACATGCATATATACACACACACATATGCACTCATCTGCCAAAAAGGAACAGGGAATAAATATTCTACTCCCATTGCTATGTCTGTCTGCGAGTACATGTTTAGAATAGTTAACCCCTGAGTAAGGCTGGAGCACAAATCATGCCCCTACGAATGCTAAAATTTGGTTCTTGTCCTTATGCAAATAGAGCTAGAAACAAGGAAATTTCAAGGAGGGGGGAAAGGAAAATACACATTAACATACATGTTCACAAGACAAACATAGTGTGTTGCTAGTACATCCCTTTCTAGATGGACGGACCACATTTGTTATTTGTGCCAGTTTTCCTCGTAACCACAGGCAAGGGAGATGTTAACTCTCCTGCTTCATGATGCCCTCCACGAAGTCGTTCCTTGCTGAGAATCTATCTGAACTATTGTGACAACCCTCCCTACACAGCACCCTGCTTCTCATCCCCATCTGCCTTCAAAGAAAATCAATAAAGCAGGGAAGATCTTTCAAGTTGTTGACATAGCGTCCTTTCCAGACCAATTAAATAGAAATCTTAGTGGTGCAGCCTAAGCACCTGAGTTAAAACAACAGACACAACCTGAGCAGAAAGCAGAGCACCATCCAGGTGACCTTAGAGCGCAGCCGAAGTTGAGAGTTGAAAGCCACCCACTGTGGCTCAGACTGGCATGTGGGAGTTGTTTCTTGAAAGATGGATTCCAGATGATCCTAATGCATGGAGGCCTTAAGAACTAATGCGTGCTGGGCAGTGGTGGCGCATGCCTTTAATCCCAGCACTAGGGAGACAGAGGCAGGCGGATCTCTGTGAGTTCAAGGCCAGCCTGGTCTACAGAGCGAGTTCCAGGGAAGCTAAGGCTACACAGAGAAACCCTACCTTGAGAAACAAAACAAACAAACAAGCAAAAATACTACGCTTTGAGAGATTCCCAACAAAACATGGTCCCTGACACCCTGGCTCTAATTTTGGAATTAACTCACACATGTGGGTGTGTGCTTTTAAAGAGTTAGCGTGTGGCACACATTCTCAGAGGTTGGGAGGGCCCTTGGCAGATGGTTAGCAGGATGTCCTTTACTTGCAGAACACTTCTGAGGGTCTATTACTGTTTGAGCAGGTATGTGTGTGGTGGGACAGGGAGGAACAGGCTCAGCAGTGACACACACACTCTTCAGACATCAGATCCCAGACTAGTTCCGCGAAGCCTGGGTGCTTATGACAGGGAGTGCTTGGTGAGTCTACCGCATGCTAGCCCTGTTCGAGGTTCTGTGTTTGTATTACACCACGAGCAGCTGTGGAAACTGAAGCTCGGAGACCTCACTAATGGGGAGCCGGTGCTGAAGCTACAGGTCAAAGACAAAGACAACAGGATCAGCTTAATCTTTGCTGGAGACAGCTTTACTGGAGATCTTCAAACCATTTGATGATGCTTCAAGTTCTATCCTCATGTTCTTTAGCATTCTGGCTTAATTAGATAAAGCTAACATTGCAAGCCTCTGTATGGTTTCTCTTACTGATCACCATCCTCTTTCTGTCCCTAACTACTAATATCAGGGGCATACAGAAAGATTCCTAAGTGTATAGGACAGGGTATTCAGGATATGTCATGAATAACCTTCCCAGGGAAAGGAACATTTACTAACTATCAAATGTGGAGCTAGGAATGATATCTAGTACCTTCCACATGGAGGAGTCTTAGTCAATAGAGCTAAATTCCCACCTCACTTATAAGTCTCTTTTTATATGTGACTTTTCTTGGTCCCTTGGGCATCCTGAACCATCATAATACCTTTTGCTGCCCCCCCCCAGTGTTTGTCCTAGGCCCTCAAAATGGTCTTGTCGATTCCACCCATGATCCTTGCTCTCCTCTAGAATAGAGAAACTGATTTCTAGATGCTGACTAAAGTTTCTGCCCATCTGAACTCATTCTAACATCTTTCTTTTTTGGCTTGTTCATTCATTCCTTCATTCATTCATTCGCTCATTCACCTACCTATTTTGCAACTGTTATGTGTTGAGCATCATGCTAACCATTGGAGATAACATGGTTAATAAGACAGGTAAGTTCATCCTCATGGAGCTTAATGGAGGAAGACAGGTGCATTAGTGGGCAGTTGGAATGCTGTAATAGTTATTAGGGAGGAGAATGATAGTATGGAGGGGATTCTGGGCAACAGGAACAGCAAAATAAATAAATAAATAAAAAACAGAGAACATGGCAGATTCTGGAAACTGAAAAGATTTGCTCTTCTCACTACTGGCAGCAGCTACACCATGTAAAAGCAGAACTCAGAATCTGACCACATCTCTTCCACTACCAAGTTGGATTACCCCTGGTATCCCTCACCCACAGGAAGGGACCTTTTGCCACCAACAGTTGTTTGAACCATGTCTATTTTACATAGAGCATAGACTCTGACTTTGAACTGCCTGTCCATCTTTAATAACAGCAGCCAGACAACGCTCTTCACTCACCACCTCACCTACTGAGCAGTTCTCTGTGATATGATGTTCTCCTCTTCCTGTTCTAAATCCTGGGATGCCAAGACCTCAGCATTACCCAGAGTTAAGCTGCTCACATTATAATGCCAAGCAACCATCTGAATTTAAAAAAAAAAGACTCTTATAGTGTTGGTTATATTTTGCTTCTGGTATATTTATTTATTTATCTATCTATTTATTTATTTATTTATTCATTTGTTTTTCAAGACAAGGTTTCTCTGTGTAGCCCTGGTTATCCTGGAACTAGCATTGTAAACCAGACTGGCCTTGAACTCACAGAGATTCACCTGTCTCTGCCTCCCAAGTTCTGGGATTAAAGGCAAGCACCACCATTACTTGGCTTACTTCTAGTATTTTCTATTCTCACATTAAATTGTGTATGTTTGAACCATCTCGTTTTTATCTACTGAGATTGTTCAAGGTTCTAAAGGAGCAGAACGGACAGAATGAATATTACAAAAAGCATATGTTGGGTTGGCGTGCATGACCCAGTCTGGGTTGTCTAACAGTGGCTGTCTGTGCACCAGAGAGGCAAAGAACCCAGTGGCTACACAGTTAGGCCTGGAGGATTCCCGAAGAACCTTTCTCCTGTGCTAGAAGACTGATAAAGCTGGGCTCCAGTACTGGTAAAGGCTGACAACAGCACTGGCAGCAGCAGAGTAGATGCACTTACCAGCGAGGAACACTGCTTGCCCTTCATCCATCCCTATATTTGGGTCAGCTCTGGAAGATGAAGCCTACTCTGTGAGAGAGTTCTCCCACTCAGCTAATTCTTCCAGGGAATATCCTCACAGACCCTCCCAGAGGAGTGTCTTTTACTTGATCTAAACCCAATCAAGTTGACAACCAAGATTAACCACCACACCAACTCACTCTCTTATATTGAAATAAATACTCAAACTGGGCATAAAATGGCATGCATCCTGTGCTGGATAGTTTCATCTCAACTTGAACCAAGTTAAAGTCACCTGGGAAGAGGGAACCTCAGTTAAGGTTAACCTCCATAAGATCTGACTGTAGGCAAGCCTGTAGGGCATTTTCTTAGTTAGGTATTGATGGGTGAAGGACCAAGTCGTTGTGGGTGGTTCCATCCCTGGGCTGGTAGTCCTGGATGCTGTAAGAAAGCAGGCTGAGTGATCCCCGATGAGCAAGCCAGTAAGCAGCTCCCCTCGATGGTTTCTACATCGATTCCTGACTCCAGGTTCCGGTACTGTCTGAGCTCCTGTCCTTATTGCTTCAGATGATGATCTGTTACATGGAACTGTGAGTGAAATCAACTTTTTCCTCCTCAAATTGCTGTTGATCATGATGTTTCCTCTTCCTTAAAAGCAATAGAAAGACACATCTGAGATCCCAGGACCAGGGAGGTTGAGGCAGTAGGATTATGAGTTCAAGGTCATCCCAGGCTATATATATTTTCTGTCTCAAACAAACAAACAAACAAACAAGAAAACAAACAGCCCCCTCAAACTCCAAAACCAGAACAACACAACTTCAGCACTATCTGTGGCCCCCAACTCCTCTCAATGGGGCTCTGGTTCAGTTGCCTCCTTAAAGCATTCAGATCAATTGGTGTCTCAGCCCACAACTCTAAGAAGACCCGAAGACCCTGGAACACAAGCCTCTTTCTGGTTTTGCTTCCCTCACACAGATCATGTACTTCATGTAAGTGGTAAGAAGACAGTGGCGCCTGCTCAGTTTTCCTACTGAGTTTGGGCCCCCCAGTCTAGAAGGCAGTCCACAGGGCGACAGTCTGCTCTTTAAAGCTCATTAGTTCCTATGACTCCACTTTTCCTTTCACATCACTGGAACAAAGCTCCTTGAGC